ACCATTTTTTTAACCTAAATATTAATGTAACCTGTTTATTTTTATAATTTACAATTTTTATAATTAACAATTGAACTATACGCTAAAACACTTGTTTAATAAGAATAAAGTCAATAATGTTCACCTAAGCCAAGTTCAGGACAGCTTTGAAATATTTAAATCCTATTTAATTTGATCTAGTCATACTTAAATATTGTGAATGTACCACAATTTTTTTCGAAATTGTGAACAGAAGTTGTTGAACAGAATTGTGAACAGAAGAAGAAATTTGAACTTGCTACTTCTATAATCTAGCCAAATTCAAATCCGACAAATTTTAAAAATATATTGAAGTCCTTTATGCTTTTATTTATATCCCTTCTAAAATTTGATTATTATATCTCCCTTAATTTTGAGGACCTGGAATAAAGTAGAGAAAATCAGGAATTCTATTTGTCTTGTAAAACAATTAAATCTAAATTTTAAGCTTATTTTTATTCTACAAAAGCGTTCATTTTTCCATAAGTTGGAAAATTTTCTCTTAAAGCTTTAGAATTTAAAGTAAAAATTGTAATATTTAATCCCAAACTGAATTTTTCTGAAAAATTCATTATTTCTAAAAATAAGATGTTAAAAGTAACAAAAATTGTTAATAGTAATTTGAATACACTAATAGTAAATATTTAATAAACTTTTCTTTGACATACAAGACACTATTTGCGCAAATATCATTTCCACGTGTAAACAACTTTATTAAAATCATTTATTTTAGAGATGGCAATGCAATCGCACAATACCTGAAAATATTATATTGTCACTAATTTGTATTGAGATTTGAGAATAAAAATTTCTTAAGAGAGAAGTATAAAGTGCTCTATTTAAATTATAAACTATTGCATTTGCATATACGTATGTATAATATATACATATATAAATAAAATTACTTTCTCTATTCTTAAAATATTTTCTTTCTATACCGGTCCATTTAAAATAAAAATGTAAATCCTATACAGTCCCATAAATATGATTGGTTTTATTATTAAAATTTGTATATTTTTTTTCCATTTTTTTTTTGCTATAATATGTATATGACCTGAGCGTGTAATATATATACATACAAATATGTATGTATATATTTTTGTTAACAATAAAAACAACAAAATTAAATTTTCATCTGTTATATTTGATGCTTTTTACCTGTGACAAAAAAAAAACAGAGAAAATAAGAACAAAAACATAAAAAGAATTTCAAAATTTTCAATACAAAACTACACACCCGTATATTTTGTACCCCGTAAATTTTCATATCAGTACATCCATACATACATACATACAAACAAACATTTAATATCGAATTCAAATCATCGTTTACAAGATTTTTGAAAAACAAAAAAAAAGAAAAAATATCAACAATTCGTCATTTTTAATATTCAATAGGAAAAATTTCTACGTAAATAAAACCAAATGAAAAAAATATTTTTCTCTATGTATTCGTTAGATACCCTTTTTTTGCTCCCTATATCTATGTTCGTACATACATACATACATTTTATAATAATAAAAATAATTACCAATACTTGTAATCAAATTGTACACAAAGTACAGGGTGAAATTTTGTTTTTCTTTTTTTATTTTTCTGCTGTTTATTCTTTTTATTTCCTTGTTATTCTTTCGACAAAATAATAACAAAAATAATCAAAAAACAAAAAACAAAAAAAATCAAAATCAAAAGAGAAATATAAGAACAAAATAAAATTTATAAATCTATTTATTTAGCTTTACATTCTCTGCTTAACTTTAAACCGCCATATTATAGAAAGTAAGGCTTTTCAGATCGGTTATAAAAATATTAAAGTATAGAAAGTTTATTATATTCGTCGTGAATAGTTCGCTTTCTAGATTTTTATAATAATCTACATAATTGCATATTTGACTTATTTTACATATGTAATTGAAATTGTAATCAAAAAGAATTTTATTTTTAAAATCGAGCAAGGAAAAGAATTCAAATTTCTGAACAAGATTTTAAATTAAATTTGAGACCTAAAAAAAAAAAATATTAAATATTCAAAACGGTTCTTCTTGTTTATTTTAATATATAATTATTAAAATTATTGCACAAAACTTAATTTGAGAAAAAAACAAAAACGAAAGAGAATAATCAAAGATTAAATTGAAAAACAATTCTATTTCGACATCAGACAAAAATTATTTAATATAAAAGTGAAGTATTTAAGATTTAAAAACAAAAAATTATTACAATTTAATTATCAACAATTAAATTCATAATTTTATTTTTAAATTTATAAAATTAATTTACAATTTTTCAAAAATTAAATATCAATTAATAACTTCCAAATTTGTATAACAGTTTTTATTTAAAATAAAAAATTTATTACTGTAAAATAAATTTAAATGAATTGAAAAATAATTTTGAAAATCTATTTTATTTTTATTTTTTCAATAAATATATATGTATGTATATGTAAATGTGTGAAATTAATAAAGTATGAGTTTGACAAACAGGAAAGTGATAATTTACAGTTAAGATTTTAATTTAATATTGTGAATTAAAATTGTAATTTAATATTGTGAATTAAAAAATAATTAATTGCAAAATTACAATATTATAAAAATTAAATTTAATAAATTCGAAAATATTAAATATATTTTTTTAAGAATTTATAATTATTTTAATTTTCTCCTTCCATTTTGACTTAAGTGCAGAATTTTGTTTTTTGCAAATCAAATATATTACAGTTAAAATGTTATAAAGTGTAGTGAATTTATTAAATGTATTAAAAGCAGTGAATTTTTTAAAATTATTAAAAATTATAAAAGTGTGATATTTTTGAAAAGATTTTAAAAAAAACAGTGAATTTTATATAATTAACAATTATTGTGAAATTTCAGTGAATATTTTTTTTATAAATTTTATTTTATTATCAAAAAACAAATGCAATATTATTTTTTGTTTTGTAAATTTTACAATATTAATTTAATATTAAAATTATATTAAAAATATTTTAAGTTTTAACCTTTAATATTATAATTTTGCTATATTTTTTTTTTAATAATTATAACAAAAATAATAAATATAAAAAAAAAATCCTAAAAGTAATAAATGGGTGAAATATTTAAAATTCTTATTACGCGCATTTAAAAATAATAAAAAATAAAGAAAAAAACAGAAAAAAATACTAAAACTCGTGCAATCACGTGTAAAAATGTGTGAATTTTTATTTTAATAATAAAAATTTTTCTGCATACAATACGACCAGAATAAAACCTTTAATATATATACTAACAAAAAAAACAATCAAACATCGGAAATGTATTAGTGATTTAGTGATATACTTACATATATATATATATATATTATACGTATAACAATATCTCAATATTTGTATTAAATTATATGTGTATATGTATATGCATATTGCATTTAATATGTATGTATATTTAAATATGGATGTGTTTGTTAAAGAATATTATTAAGAATGCTGCTATTTTTTACAGAATATTTTTCTTTTATATTATTGTTATTATTATTTCTGTAATTACATTGTTTATTTATTTTGTTTTTAGAAACACGAAAATATTCTGTAATTTTATAAATTAATTGAAATTTTATTATTAATTAATTATATTATTAAATTAAATTATTATATTTTTGTTTTTGTGTATGATTTTAATAATAAAATTTCGTGTAAATTGTAATATTACAATATATATATATAAAGTTGTGTTAGCACAACATACAAAATATATCAAATATTTTAATTAAAATTAGTCCACATATTATAGAAAAGTACAAACACATATCTTAAATAAAATGCATATAAATATTAATATGTACATATGATATACACATACACATATAAAATATTTGAAATTAGAAAAGAAAAATATTTGTTTATTTCAAATTGACGACGACGATAGTCACATTTTTAGACACTGGTTGGATATAAATAAATGAAAATATTAAAAGAGAAATTGAGAAAGATAGCTATAATTAAATTTAATTTGAAATAAATTAAATAAAACTCCTAAAGAATATGCAATTTTTTACATTTCATTTTTATTAATTTTAAACAAAATTTTCGGGAAAATATTATTAAATTTTTGATATTTTCATTTACTATGCGAAATTTGAGGCTAATACAAAATTAAGGTTTTGCACATTATGTTTTTGAAAAGAAAAACTTAAATGAGTATACAATGAAAAAGCCAACCTTCTCACGTATATTATATAGCCATTTGAGAGCCTTATTTTATGTAGAGTATTGTGCATAGATTAGGTGATCACGTAATCCCATCATGTAATAGGTGCATTCCTATTCTTTAATACTTCCAATTTCTTTTTTAATTTTTGAAAGGGATATTCAAAATTTTTCAACCGTAAAATAAATTTTAATAATTTTACTCTTACATAATACAGGGTAAATTTTTAAATCAAATCACGCAATACCCAAAAACAAATTAGGGTAAAACAGAAACATAAATTTTAGGCTATTATAATATGTCCAATTCTGCTCTTTTTCCGTGTAAGTCTTTTCTCTTAAAGGTTTTCTTGATATTGGGTTATTGTGTTGACATAACATACAAAATCAAATATTAAAAGAATTTTAAAAGAATAAGGAAATTAAAAGGCAAATAAAACAAAAATGTATTTATAAAAATCAAAATAAATAAAATATAAAAGAAAAAAGAAAGGGACATTTTATAATTAAAAGATATACAAATTATTTCAAAAGGATTCAAATTTATACAAACAATTATACTATTAAAAATTATATGAAATTGAATAAAAATGAAACTATTTTGTAATTATTCAATAAATTCATCTTAAAAACAAAAACTTGAAAAAAACAAAAGAATTACAATAAGAATTTAAAATATAAAATTCTGTAATTAATAATTTAATGGTAAAAATGACAGATTTCAATTTTACTAAATTTCAACAAACAACCAAAATCATATGCTTTTCTAATAAATCATCTAATCAAAAACTTGAGCATTTCTTTATAAATCGTTAAAAGTGATAAAAGTTATAGAAATAACTTCAAAAATTTAAAAAACAAAATTTTTAGGAAAAAAAAATAATCAATCTTAGTAGTGATTTTATTGTCATTATATAAACAAAAAACTCCTAGAAACAATTAAAAAAAAAATAATTAAACAAATAAAATTTTAAAAACATTCTAAAGCAAAATAAAAAAAAATGGCAGCTGATACAGGAACGTGTAATACATTTTTTAATGAACATTGTAATAATTCATTAAATGGATATTTTCCACAAATGTCTACAACTGGTCAACAACAACAACAGCAACAACAACGAACGCAACCGCCTAGCAGAAATGGTGGACATAGTAATAGTTCAGCAAATTCATCAACTTCAAGTACAAATTCAAGTAATCATACAAATTCAAATTCACCACAACAACAACATCAAAACCGTTGGAATGATATTGCATCAATAAATGCTGCAACTCAACAACAGCAACAGCAGCAGCAGCAACAACAGCAACAACAACAAAATCAACAACAAAATCATCAGCAACAACAGCAACAACAAACAAATCAACAATTATCTTCACAACAACAACAACATAATTTATCACAACATCAACCTCATGAACATCATCAACCACAACAAAATCATCATCAGCAACAGCAACAGCAGCAACAACAACAGCAGCAACAACAACAACATCATCATCATAATCATCATCATCATCAAAATTCACAATTATCACAACATTTACTTAATTCAACTAATGCTCATTCAATATTTGGGACTGGAAATTTTCATCATAGATCAAATAATTCATGGACAATGCCAAGTTTGGCATGTTATCAAAGAATTTATAGTGATAATCATTATATGCAAGCAGCATTTAATCAAAATCAAAATAATTTAACAACACAAAATGGTAATAGTAATAATAATTCAAATAATAATAATAACAATAATAATAATAACAGTAATAGTAATAATAATAATAATAACAATAGTAACAATAATAATAACGGTAATAATAATAGCAGTATGCAAAATAATAACAGTTTACTTGGAAATCATTTACATAATAAGAGATTTCTAATACAAGCAGGTCAGTTTTAAAATTATTATTTTTTATTAATTTCCTTTTAAATTTTCTTTTATATATTTAGATTTTACAAGTTGTAATAGATTATGTATAATAAGTCCATAGATCATGTATAGTAAGGAATGTCCTTTAAATATTTGATTATTTTAAATTAAGTATAGTATTAAAAGCACAATTTTTATTAAGAACGAAAATTTCAATTTTTAGCATTCAAATTATCCAAGCTGCTCCATTCTATGTACAAAATATTGATGTTAATTTACTAAGTAAATTTTCCTATATAATTAATATTACTTCTACCGAAACGTTGTTGAATGGCACACATGACATAGTATACAAATGACAACGTTATAAACCCCATAAGAAAATATAGTTAAAAAAATTTTGCACGTTATTTTAACAACTGTTTGACTAAAAGTTCGCATATAAAATTATATTTTTTGACGTCAGCAATTTCATATGTCATATATATGTATATATATAAAAATAATATTACTGATCAGGTATGAAATTTTTCCATTCAAGTACCAAAATGACGAAATTTATAAAATATCTTGTGGTATAGCAATATAAAAACTTAGTCAAAGGGAGAATATGAATAGCTCAATTTTATTAAATATATATGTACTTTTTTATAACTCATATAACAGCTTTATTTTAAAAATGGTATTATAAATTTGCTAATCAGTTTGTAACTAATAATGAATCATTTATAATTATTAAAATTTATGTGAGTAGAACCATGGAATGAATTGCAATGTAAAGAACATCAAAAGTCACGTTAAAAATAAAATTTTTTGGAAAATTTATGAGTATTAGACTGATATTGCTACTCTCATGTAATTTTCTTTGCAAAAACACATATTCTAGGAAAAATAATTTACACGTTACATTACTAAACTATTATTTAGTTTGTAGCCTAATAATTAGATTAGAAATTGTATTCAACAATTAAATCACAATACGAGTATTTCTTAATAACGTAAGTACATAAGTTTTTACGTTAAATGGCTGATTAAGATATCAAACATTGTTCACAAAATTTATTTTGTTGTCATAGCATTCTGTAATATAATCCGAGAACGTGCACATATTAAAATTTCATCAAATATTTGCAAATCAAACAAAATCCAAGACAAATGTCTCTCTATGAATGAAATCTAAAATATTGAATCTAAAAAAGCTTGTTTAGTTCACACTCGTAGATTTCTGAAACTTGCTATTCGTCTCCATAGCAAATAATTGACCAGATCAACTCTCCGTCTATATTGAATAAAATTGAATTAAACTAGAATTTTTGACCTGTGTACACGCATAGATTGCTTCTATTTATAATTAATTGCAAAAAAACATTTTAATTATTATTAAAAAAATTCAAAAAATATTTTAATTAATTTTTTAATTGTATTACTCTAAATTCAACTTTTTGATTTTGTGACAAGTCAATTTAGGAATAACAGGGTGCATACCTATAATTTTAAGATATTTAAAATTTTTGTGTAGAAATCAAGCAATAATGTATGCATTTACGTATATCTTGTACATACACATACTTAAATCAATGAATATCGTATATTATATGTACATACACATATTAAACTAGCCGTTGCAATAAAATTAGCATTCATTATAATTTATAAAATCCGTTTTGTTATTAATTCTGTAGATTTTGCTTTTCGCTTACTTAAAATTCACTCATATACGAAAAGTTCTACTATAATGCCTGTTCTATTCTTGTATTTAATGTAATTGTGTGCAAATGTAATGGGCTACAATTATTATTGTTGTATGCAGTTGCAATTGAAACTTTTCGATTTCAATTAAATGCAAACAGGGTGAATCAATATATATTTCACTTATTAGTTATTTTTTTTCTTTTTTCTTCTCTCTATTTCTTATTTGGTTTTATTCACTAATTTTTTTTTTATTTCGCGAAAGTATATTTTTGTTTTTATCGCGAATAGAACAAAATAATCGCAATTATTAAAGAAAATGCAATCACAATTTTTGACACGTGAGCTTATTGTATATTTGTATAAGTATTTTATATGAATGTATGACTTATATCTATAGTATTTTGTATATTTGTATGAAAGAATTTATTCTACATAGTTTATTTGGTGATAAGCGTGTGCAAAATACATGAGAAAAAATTAAATGACAGAAAAAAAAATACAATTAAATTATAGTTTTTAACTTTGTGTGTATGTAGATATGTGTCATCTGAATATATAATTAATTAATGTCACGAGCAGTAATAATACAGACATAATAGTACAAATGCTATTAAAAGTTATAAAATTAAGGTATTGAGAAGAGGGAAATAATAATATGGCGATTGAAAATATTTGATTTAGTGAAAAATTTTACAAAATTCCAAAATGTGAAATGGAAAACAGTTGAATGCGTGTAATCAGTTGTACAACAATTTTAGAAAATTTGTTTTTGATATTATTGTATTTTTTAGGAAATATCATTTGAAAAAGTTCCGCCAATATTTGTTCATAAATTACGAATTAATTCTTTTTTAATCTACATATATGACGTTTCTCTGCCGCGTTTTTTTATTATTCGAGTTTTCGCTATTAAGAACCCATTTTCGAAATTCAGAAAGCATTTGAAAATGTTCTATAGAAAACACTTTTCATTAGTGTTTTTCAATAATTTTGTCTATTCGTTTTCTATCATTTTGTACAATATTTCACTTCCCACTGAATGACTGAATCTATGTTTTTTCGTTAATGTAAACGACTTTTGAAGAATATAGTGTTGCCAATTAGAATAAACTGTTGATGTTTTTGATGTTTTTGAAAATTCAATTAACTGCAACTTACCACTTTGGTTGTTTCTTAGAAAAGTAAATAACTTTTCTGTTGGCAAAAAAACACTGTGTACTTTTTTTTATTTAAAATATTTACTTGAAATTTAATATATCCGCTTTGGCACGAGCATAGAATTATTGATTACTAATTTAGTAAATTTTTTCTATATTTAATATTTTCATTTAAAAATACCCATAACGTTGTCGGTGGTTTTCTGATCTTATTTCTTATATTTAGCTTCTATTACTATTTTATTATCAAGTAATCGCATAAGTAAAATTTCATTTTACTTTAAATTTGCGTTTTTTTTTAATTAGTTGGGGAATTTTTGGTATGATTTAAGTTTTTCTTACAAAAATTATTACATTCTTATTTTGTTTTTCTTATTTATTTTAGATATTTATATTTAAACCTATAATATACGTCGAGAGAAGATTTTTTTTCTTACAATTCCGCTTTCTGTTAACATTATTTTTGTGGATTTTTTTTCTATTTAATTTACATATTACCTATAATTATTCAACGATGGTTTTTTTAATAGTTTTCTAAATTTGATATTAGTTTAAGGATTTTCAATATTAGGAGTTTTCGGAATTATGCAAATTTGAAATTAATTCAAAATTAATTTTTAATAAAAAACTATTTTTAATACTTCCGGTACTTCCAATTTCAATTGTAAAAATGCCTAAAATTAAGAAGTTCAAATTATTCATTTTCAATTTAGTGGCAACTACTACTGTTTTTTTTAATTAAAGTAAAATTGTTATACATTTTAATGATTAAATTTGAAATTTTGTTCAAACATTGTAAGTCGTGACAATTTTACCTATAAGAAAATTAGAATTAAGGAAATTTTTATTTTGTTACTTAATTTATAAATTAGATTAAATATTTATGAAACAAAACATCACGAAATTCATGTTTTATTTAGCCTTGATCTTTATTGTGAAAGTAAATTAAAAATCATTATTAGTTTTCACTTTCAATAATGAAACAAGCCAATTAATTGTACACCTTTTTAAAAAATATGACTAATTTATATTTAACAGTATACAAGCATATTTACAGTCACATGCATTTTAAACTTTATAAATAAAATTTTGTTCTTTAAATTCAGAATTCGACTTAGAATATGTCATCAAATTTGACATCATGATCGCATCATATTAAGAAAAATTTTATAAAATAAAAAATTTTTTGAAGAATTTTCAACTAAATCTTGTATTTTTCCTTTAACACTAGAGTTAGATCAAAAAAATAAATGTTTTAAAAGTTCTGCCCTTCAACCTACATAAGTATTTTAAAGTTTAGAAGTTTTATTATTATTTTTCATTAAATTACGGAGTCTAGCTATACTTCAGCGCTCTGTGGAGTCTATATGTAATAATAAGACATACTTCAAAATTTTTTAGATCTTCAGATTGCGAATATGTTTTCGAGCACAAATTCACTTCATTTTTTTTTTCATTTTCTGGCAAGTAACATTTAATGATAGCTGAAAGCTGAAAACAAAAAAAAAGGCAGACAAAATTTGGCGGAAGATTTATGCCCGAATAATTATAAAAGTTTTAATAATTAAAACAAAAAAAAAATTTAGAAAATTTTATACAAAAAAAATTTTTATACACGATCGATTTTTCACATTGTTTTACTGCTTTTTTTCTCTCTCTAAATACCAAAATTTAATAAATGTTATTCAATATTTTACGCGTGCCCAATGAACTTTAAAAAGAAACGAAACAAATAAAAAAAACAAAGAATAGTGACAAACTTTTACTTTGAATTAATCATTTTAACTTGTATAATAATCTTAAATTTAATATCAATCAAATTTTTTGACTGTTTGACAGTTTATTTAAAGAATTCAAACCCCCATTGCATCTTATTGAGTATTAGATGCAGACAAATAATATTGTGAGCTTATTAATTAATCTCAAAAACTCTACAATATCACCTTAATACGGATTAACGTTTAGGTTGTAGGTTAAATTCCAAACAAGTAGCTTAAATATGCTTGTGTTACAAAATTAAATAGAAATTTATGATAATATTTAGAATTATATCGAAAATTTAATTTTTATTAGTTAGAGAAGATGACTGTGGAAAATTATAAATTTAATTAAAATTAATTTAATTATTGATGATCTAATTTATAAAAAAAATGTAATGGTAACCAATCAAAATT